CGCGAAAGCGCAAGCTCGTCGACTTTCTTCGATGGGAGGTGGACAGACCTCCTACCCTGACGCGTCGATTGAGGAATTGGCCGTTTTCGGTTTGCGAGAAGGCGCCGCGGCCGTCATTTTTGCGGGTCCAGGTCCGTTGGTTTCGGTCCCAGGCCGTTTTCATTAAGGGGGGGGTTGCTACAGGGAGGTTTGTCCACCGCCGATTCGAGTGTTTGGAAGCTTTCTGGCACTATCGCGTCTTCGGCCCTCCGACAGCAAAGGACGGCTTCGGGGGCCTTCATGATGGCCCGAACAGAGAGCCCAGAAGGACGCCTGCCACGCCAGCGCCCTTCTGGGACGGAGTGCGTGCGCGTCAGAAGGGGTTCGCCTTGCTTCTTCTTTCGCTCGCTCGCATCGGCACGGGTAGGCCGGGCCCCTGGTTCCCGATCGCTGTTTCTCTGGACGGGATACAACAGTGGAGACCCATGCCAAGAAACATCCTGTTTGCCTCCCAGGAGCCTTGGGTTTCGTGGATTTCGATGGTTTTGCAATGGGGAACGTTCATTGGTCCGAAAGATACCCGTACCCGGGGCCAGCCAAGGTGAGATGGGCCGTCCGGGGGACTGGGCGCTTGCTATTGTGCCCGGTCAGTTTGCCCCGCGCGCGCACGTCAAGACGCAACGGCGCGCTCGATGGTTGGGTGTCTGATTGCAGCGACAAGCGATGGTTTTTGTTAGGGACGTTTCGGGGCATCGTGGTGCGTGCGCGGCTCAAAGCCGCCCATATGTGGTGGCGCCTGCCCCAATCGATCAAGAGTTGCATGTCCTCGCAATCCTGGCAACCAATGCGTCTGGGCTGCCCTGAGGAACGACGTTGCATTGTCGCGCCCCCAAGGGGCTGCAGCGGCCACGTCGGGGACGGCTTTGGAGGGCATGATATGTGTTCGACAGCGTTTTGGGCCTGCCGCCCACTCGGCTAGGTACGGGGACCTGCTTGAAACTACCGAAACATACCCGGACCTGGCTGGGGTGGAGCTGCGGCACCCCGGCTAGGTACGGGTATTTGGGGGTTTTGTGGGGCAGCCGTACCTAGCTGGGGTGATCCGCGGACGGCCGTCCAAGGGGGCGGCCTCTGGCGACCTCGCCCAGGGCACAGATTCGCGATGTCTCTGCATCGAGCAATTCGCGATAGGGCGGTTGTCGCTCAACGACGTTCGCGCCAGAGTTGTTCGCATGCGCCCCCGAGTGCGCGTTGACTCCTCAACGCCCGGATGTGTTTCCGGGGGCGCGCCTCCGCAGTAGCTGGTCTACATCGACACCGAACAACGCAGGGTCAGGCATTCCGCCGATTCGAACGCACGTACGATCGGTGCTAACGTGCGCCCCGAGAAAGCAGCGGTCTATAATGTTCGATCCGCTGTCGTTTCTACACTTGTGTAGCCGCCGTCAGCTGCGACGAACCGCCCCCTGCCCCTTTGCCACCCTGTCTAGGTAAGGGTACGGGTATCTTTCGCGCTCGAGAAACGTGACACTCCCACACCAGAAGTCAATGGAGGTCCTGGGATCTCAGGGTTGGGTTTCTTGTGGACGGTATCATGTGGTCGAGCTCCTAGTGTGCGCCATATTGGCAGACCCCTTGACTGCAGTTCGTTTCCTATGTTTTTTTCCCCCATGTGGTGTTGGGTCCTCGTTCTGAAAGGACGGTTCCCGCGCCTCCTCCTCCTCCCGCTGCCCCCCCTCCCAGTGGTGGTGGCCACATGCGCCCACCACACCCAGTACAGCGGTTCGTGGCCCCATATGAAGCTCCACCCAAGGCCCCACTGGGGGTTTGCCACATGCGTCCGCCACACCCAGTACGGCGCTTCAAGGCCCCAGTGTGGGGGGCGGGCGCATGCGTCCGCCACACTAGGTACAGCGCTTCGTGGCCCGATAGGGAGCTCCACCCAAGGCCCCACATGCGTCCGCCGCACCCAGTACAGCGGTTCGTGGCCCCATATGAAGCTCCACCCAAGGCCCCAGTGGAGCTTTGCCACATGCGTCCGCCGCACCCAGTACGGCGTTTCGTGGCCCGATTGGGAGCCTTACCCAAGGCCCCAGTGTGGGGTGGGGGGGTGCACATGCGTCCGCCACACTCAGTACAGCGGTTCGTGGCCCGATAGGGAACCCCACCCAAGGCCCCACATGCGTCCGCCACGCCCAGTACAGCGCTTCGTGGCCTCATGGGGAGTTCCACCCAAGGCCCCACTGGGGGTGGCCACGCGCGTCCGCCACACCCAGTACGGCGCTTCGTGGCCCCGTAGGGAAATCCACTTGGGCCCCAGTGAGGGTGGCCACACGCGGCCGCCACACCCAGTACAGCGCTTCGTGGCCCCATGGGGAGCCCCACCCGAGGCCCCAGAGGAGACGGTCACATGCGTCCGCCACACTTACTACATTGTTTCGTGGCTCCATGGGGATTTCCACCTTAGGCCCCAGCGAGGGTGGCCACATGCGCCCGCCACACCCACTACAGCGCTTCGCGGCCCTATAGGGAGCTCCATCGGAGGCCCCAGTATGGGTGGCCAGTGGGACCGTCCGCGCGCGTGCCGCACACCCAAATTGGCATGTTCACCCGCCCAGTACAGCGCTTCGTGGCTCCATAGGGAGCTCCGCCGAAGCCCTCAGTGGGACAGCCCGCATGCGTCCCGCACGCGCAATTTCACATTTTCACCCACCCAATACAGCGCTTCGTGGCCCCAATAGGGAGCCCCACCGAAGTCACAGTGGGACCGCCCACATGCGTCCCACACGCCAAATTTGGCATTTTCACCCACCCAGTACAGCGTTTCGTGGCCCCATAGGAAGCCCCACCGAGACCCCTAGTGGGATCGTCCGCATGCGTCCCGCATACCCAATTTGGCACTTTCAACTACCCAGTCCAACGCTTCGTGGCCCCAGTCGGACTCCCACCAAAGCTCCTACAATGACCGTCCTCGTGGGTCCCAGAGCCTAATTTGGCATTTTCACATACACAGTACAACGCTTCGTGGCCCCATAGGGAACTCCACCGTCGCCGAAACCTCCACTGCGAACGTCCGCGTGCGTCCCGGAAACTCAACTTGGCATTTTCACTTACCCAGTACAGCGCCTCGTGGCCCATAGGAAGGTCCACCGAACCGAAGCCCCCAGTGGGACCTTCTGTGTGCGTCACACACACAATTTGGCATTTTCACCCACTCAGTACAGCGCTTCGTGGCCCCATAGGGAAATCCACCGACGGCCCCAGTGCAACCGCCCGCATGCGCTCCCCCCCCCCACGCCGTGCAGCGCTTCGCGGCCCAATAAGGAGTTTCACAGAAGAAGATATTCACAATTGCAGTGGCCACAACTGCATATGGCTAGGTCCTTCGCCAGGATATTTTCCGTTGCGTCCGTGAAGTCATTTATGTTGTTTTTGGCGGATGCGACTTAGTTTTTCTTTGATGAGGTCGTACGAGACGTGCGTGCCGCCTCTCGAAGAAAAGGCGGATATTTCGGAGCCACAAAGGAAACACAACGCAGCAGGGGAGAGGCTGCGCCAGAAGTGCGCGGAGGAGGCGGACAAATTGACGCGAGAGGCGAACAACTCCAAACGGAAAGCAGATGCGGAAACGAAGCCGTTGACGTGCTCTGCGCCAGGTTGCGGGGTGATTTGTTCTGGGACCGGTCATTTGACTCCCCCCCCTCCGGCAAATCGATAACCCTTCCGCACCCTGGAAGCGTTACCCGGCACCAGGAGTCCTCCTTCGTGTCCGGGTGCTGCAGCTATCGTTCGGTTATTTCGGCCCCTCGGAATATCGAATAAAGAATGCGGTGCTACGATATCGCCGGGGGGGTTCTTAAATGCTTCCTGGGGTTAGGCGAAGGATCATTGAACCAGAATTACGGTAGGTTTGCGTCGTGTCGACCAGCGGCGACCCCAGCGCGGGCGTTCAAGGTTGAACGCCGCCGGCGACCCAGAATCGATCGATGTTGAACGATCGGACGTTGCGGCAGCGGCCGATCGTTTAAGGTTGAACGATCCTTGCGGTGTCAAAAACCAACGCTGGGGTCGGCACGACACGAACCTGCCGTAGGCGTAGGATCATTGAACGGCGAGTGGGACCGGTGCGTGGACTGCAGCAAAGGCGCGGCAGACCCGCGGAGGTAGGAGCCGATGCGGCGTAGCGGCTGGAAGACGAGATTCGGCGCGCGCGGCGCGCAGCCGGAAGTTTCCGCGGCATGGCTTCATCAGTGGCGCGCAGGAGACGGAATCGGGGGAGAAAAAGATACGGATACGTGTTGTCCCCCGTCGTTTTCGGCCTTTCCTGGTCCTCCTGGGGAATCCTCGTTGTCACCGCTGGATTCGCCTCGAAATTCTGGTCAGAACGCACCCCAAGAGTCTTGGCTAAGAGAGGTCCGGGGACAACACGTATCCGTATCTTTCCGCCCCCCAGCGGAACATCTGACGAGGAGAGTGAAAGTAACGCGCGCGGACTGCAAGGACTTGGTTTCGCGGCGCGCAGTTGGCAGGCGCATCGACGCAGTGGCATGTGCAAGAGACCGCTTCCGAGGTCGGCGTTTTCCGTGAGGCCTGACAAGGTTGCGCACAACGTGAAGCATGGCAGCTTGAAGTGCAAGGCGCACAATTGATGTCGATTCTGGCGCCCGTGCCGTGGTCCGTGGAATCGAGACCAGAAGAAGAGAGAGCGCGGGGGAGAGCGAAGTCGACGAATCGTCGTCGTCGTCGTTTTCGTCGTCGTCGTCGACGATTTTGTTGCTCCTCTCTCTGCCCTTTTTGGGTTCTCTTCGCGTCGGCAACTTGTGTCCGTCACGTGGTGCCAGGGCCAGGGGGGAGGAAAATGAAGTGGAGGAGGAAGAGGACGAGGCGGAAGAAGAGGAGGAGGAGGAGGAGGAAAAGGAGGAGGAAGCGGAGGAGAAGGAGGGGGAGGGGATTTCGCTTCACGCGACGAAGCCTCTCTGCCTCCTTCGCCCTGGCCCCCGTGCCGCCGGAGTCCGCGAAAGGCGAGCGTCGTGCCCGCGGCACGTGCCTCGGAGGAGCTCCCAGACGTGGATGCGAGGCCGAGCAGTGGCACCCGCCCTCTGCGGGGGGCGGAGGGGGGAGGGGGGAGACAACGAGGAGGACGGAGTACGACGGGGCACAGTCGGCCTGGACTAGCAGGTCGACCCTGCCAATTCAGGGGTTCTCCTATACCTTGTGCATCGCGCGGCGTGTTTTCTGCAGTCCCAGGTCAAGGATGTTCATGTGTCCTGTGGTTGTGGAGACCATGTTGCTGGCGGAAGAGTCTTGAGTTCTGTTGCGTGTTTTGTGCATTGCATCATGCCCGTAGGGCACACCTACCATTCTTCCTCTTTGACGTATCCGACGTCGGCGACGGCGGCGGGTTCCTTACGCCGTCGACGAAGGGTGGAAGATGCAGGAGATCCGCACAGCAGGGGTGTAGCTGCGTGGGAGACACGCAGGGTCTCGGATCTCTGTCGGTTTCTTGTGTTTTTCCTTGTCCTCTGCTCTGGGACTTTTTTTTGTGCTGGTATTGGTGGTGGGATGACAAGGGGGGCTTGAAACATCTGCCGTCCAAGCGGTGCAAACCTGCTACCGAAAAGCCGAAGCCAGCGGGCAGTACAATTTACAGGGCCGCTCAGAGTTCCATGCCCCTCTTCTCGAGCGCGAGCGTGGAGGACTTCATCACTGCAGCCGTGCTCACCATCAGCTGCATGCTCGCCGAGTCCACCATCGAGTTGCCGAACACGCCATCCTCTCCTTCGTCTCCATGCAGTCCCGCACGACTGCTAGCCCGTTTCGTCCCTAGTGTAGTTCCGGAGGAGCGCCAGGTCCAGGCCGAAGTAGCCCCCCAGTGCCACCATCATGGGTTCGTCGGCTTTCGGCACGTGGACGCTGCCGTCGGCGACGACCGTTGGCACATCCCAGATCTTCAGGGTATCAAGCGCATCTTTCATGATGCGCCGCTGCGCGGCGACCACTCCCTGTGTGCCTGCTCCTGGGTTTGGCGGCTTCGCCCACGGTCTCGGTCACTCCCCACGCCTTCATCACATGGACGGTCTCTTCGACGCGCATTCTCGATGCCACCTCCACCTTGTCCTCGATCCTTGGTGAACGGGGCGCGCCAGGCCTTCTCGTTGAGGTCGTCGACCTCCTGCCCTCCGCCCTCGATCGCCTCAGGCGGCCGCGGTTCACGAAGCAATGCCATGGGCCCTTCGCCACCATCCACGCATTCGACTACAGGATTCGGGCAGATCCTTTGGTTGGCAAGCTGCATGCCGTTCGCCTTCAGCACGCAGGCGGCTCCCACGACGCACTCCCAGCTCCTACGGCGTACTCCCACCTCGGCAGCTCCATCACGGGCGCCACGGCGAAGCATTCCGACGGCACGTCCAAACTCTTCCCGTCTTCTTGGACGGTCTTCATGACGTGCTCGTTCGTCGGCGCCTCCACGACGAACTGGTTCGTCGGCACCTCCACTCAATGCCTGTGGTCATGGGTCGTCCCCTCCACAAGCTTATCGACCTCCATGCTCCCAGCATTTTTCGTGATTTCGTGCTTCATAACCTACCTTTAGCCCTGGCTCTTGCACGCGTCGCCATCACGCTCTCAGCATGGGCTGGCTTCTCGAAGTGCGCAGAGGTCGGTTCCTCCACGATCACCTCGTCGCCTCAGTTCGTCTCGTCTCCCACGGCACGTGAACGGCTCCCTCGACGTGCTCGGACGGCGGCGGCTTCACCACGTCTCGACCTCGACGCTCGTCTTGCCCTCCACGCCAATCGCCTTAACGATCTTCTCGGCCCCTGGCACGGGTCCTTCCAGCAACCCCCAGAACTCGCTGAGGTTTGGCTCCGCCTCCGCCTCGATTCTCAGGTCGCCTTCGCCTTAGTCGTCCGATGAGTCCCCCCTGAAGAAGCACTGAGGCGTTCCCTTCGTGCCATCCGTAGCCATTGTGGCTCAAGCGATGTGGGCTCAAGGAACCGTTCTGGTTCATATTCGTTTTGAGTTTGGTCGTGCGAACTTGAGAACGGCGCTGCACGACCGAGCCTTGGCTGAGTCTCCCAGCCTACCGTTTGCAGGTTGCGCTTGCGCATCCCTGAGCCTACCATACGCAGGTGGCGCCTGCTAGCTGCCACTTCCCGTCTCCTGGTGCAGCCATGGCAGCTCATGGCGGTGCTCCTGGCGATGGCCTCATAAGTCGGTTGAACCGCTCCTGTCGTGCTCAAGGCGCCCCCCCGCTCGAGCCAGGCCTTCAACCAGGAGATGGTGGTGGGGTTGGTGGCCAGCATCAACAAGTGCGCTGGGTCTGCGGGCAATGCGGGTGCAAGAAGAACCTGGCATGTCGGGCTGGGCGCAAACACTGCCAGGCGCCATGGTCACAGGCATGCACATGGTCGATCCCGCCCAGTCAAGGTAAGGCCGACAAGGACAAGTCAGCCGCTGCTCTTGATGGGCTTTCTGCTGAGGACTTGTTCAGCTTGCTGCGATTCTTGAAAAGGGAGGAGACGTTGACGGATGAGCTGGGCACCGTGCCTTGGCTCAGCAGCGGCGCCGGCCCTCACCTTCCCAATCTCTCCTGTTCTAGATCAACAGTGCGCACAGCAAGCGCCGACTTGTTGATGAACGCCGTCAAGCCGCTCTCACAACGCACGAAGAACAAGATAACGCCCTACGTCGCCAGCGAGAAGAAGTTGTGTTCCTGCGAAAGGGGCTCCAGACGGCAAAGGACGCTCACAAGGATCTTACTGGTAAGCTTGCTGCATGTTTTTTCGGGGTGCTTTACTAGCTGCCGAGGACATCTTGGGCGGAAAAGTCGAGGATGTCATTTCCATCGGCGTGACTGCGAGCACGCAATGCCCCAGCAGGACCTGGACGAGCTCGCGAAGAGATTGAATCAGCTGTCGGACGGTGTCAAGAAGCTCTGCGAGCAGCTGTTCAAGCAGGCGGGCGAATAATTTCAAATCTACGCCGGAAGCACAACTTGCACGTTCAGCGTCTTGCCGCCGCGCGCCGCCGCCATGAAGCCCTCGCTGCAGGAGTTGCGCCGGGCGGAGGCAGCGGCGGCCATGCCTGCGGCGGCGGCTTCGCCGCAGAGGCGCCCCCAGCTCCAGCTGGAGGAGCTGAGTCATCGGCTTCGGGGGCAGCGCCTGGATCGCGGCCACATGAGGCCCCTGGCCAGTGCCCTGAGCCTCCCAGAGATCATTTGACCGATGGGGCTCAAGGCGTAAGCTGCCGCCGCGCTCGCAGCTTCAGGTGAGCCCCACCCCCTGCCCCAGGGGCAAAATTAGCTGCAGGGGGGGGGTTCTTTCGACAGGTCTCCCGAATCCCCGATGGCCTGCCCGCCTTTCTTCCGTCGCTCCCCCTGCGCTCGCGATGTCCGCTGCCGAGGCCGAGGGGGCCCGAGGCAAGCGGTGCGTCGCGCTCTGTGGAGGTCACAACGAGTGTTGTCGGGGGAATGCCCTGGCCGGCAGTCTCTGCAGGTGAAAGCGGCTGAGCCTGCCGGTTTTGTTTGCCTTATGAAGGATCGTCTTGTCTCGGCCTCTCCTGGGTCTGATTTTCCGACGCGCGTGGCGCCTAATCCCAGGATTCCCGCCGGCCCTCTTTCCTCGCCTGTGGCTCCGGGCCCTCCGTGCGGCCCATTGGTGTCTGACGGGCTGGGCTCTATTGAGTTGGCTGTTCGCAGTATCAACTGCAATCGCTGGGGCTCTCTCAAGGAGATGCCTCCTGACGCGTAGGCCAGGGCGCTCCTGGTTCAGGGGCGTAGGTTAGCCACTCGCGAAGAGATGCACGTTGCGTCTCAATCGAGTGCTCGCAATGGTTGGAAATCTTCGTGGGCCCCAGCTGTGATCACGGAAGGAGGCGCTTCGGCAGGTACTGCGGCGCCCGCCGAGTCTTTCCTCGGGTTGCCCCCCTCCGCGAGAGGGGCGCGGCGCAGCTAGAGTTCGCCTTGCTCGCGCGATGGCGCAGATCCCAGGTGGTTTCGCATTTCGTGCGTTTTCGGTATATTTTTACGTCGGCGAAGGGATACCTGATCCTAACATGGACCTCTCGTGCCACCTCGGGGCGAGAGCTCAGCGTTCCCCGTCCTCGTCTGTCATCGGATGCCATTTTTAACGCGTGCCCTGACAGGCTGACTTCCATTGAGTTCGTCTCTGAGCTTCGAGGTCAGTTGATCCATTCTTGTGGCCGCACCCACTTTTGGAACGGGGCTCCCGTCGACCCTCGATTTCTTCGTGCGCGGTTGGGGCATGGGCAAGGCCTTCAGAAGCTGCCGCGTGATTTTCGGCGCGATCTTGAGCCCCCATCGGCCCGCTGACGTGGTCTTCCACAGGTTGCCAGCCAGCGTCGCTGAAGGCTCCGCGTTTGAAGACCCCCCCCCGCATCCTCGGGGGCTTGTCTTTGGTCCTTGGCCTGGGCCCCCCGACTGGGCTCGCGCGATCACTCGCGCCCAGGCCCAGGCCGGCCTGGCAGCGGTCGCTGCGGGCGACGCGGCTGCTGCTCTCAGCCACCCGTCACCAGGCGACGCGGCCTGGGCTGTTGCGGCCGAGGCCGAGCTGGCGCAGCGGGGGCGGAGCTCGCAGCGATGGGCTCGCGCAGTAAAGGGCCTCAACTCACGTGGAAAAGTGTCGCGGGAGGGGCGGCGTGCTGGGGCATCCCGAGCACCGCGTCATCCCGTGGCTGGTGACTCAGTTCCGCGCCTACCTTCGTTGGCACTGTTCGGGTCCAGGCTCGGGCAGTCAATCTGGGAGGTTAGGCGCCTATTGGATGTTTTCTGGTTCTTCCGTGCGGGTGCATGCTCGCGTCTCTTCCGCGCGCGGTCGGCTTATGACAGCTGCGCAGAACGCGACGGCGGAAGCTGTTCTGAGCTCCCTGCCCAGCGCAGCGTTCGAGGCGGATGCCATTTTCAAGGCCCGTTCTCAGGCTGATTGGCGAGCCTGGCTCACCGAGGGGGGTCGACCAGTGAGCGCGAAACGCCTATGCCGTTGTTACGGGTGCCCGCCGCCACCTTCCTCGGGCGCCCGCCACCACCCTGTCCAGAGACGGCGCGCCCGTTGATGA